CTTTTGAGAAGCAGAGGTCCTTTCTCGAGGTGGGCCTTCACCCCTTACTACAGTTGCTCTGAATATTTGCACTGGCCAAGTGGGCTTCTTTCCGAGGATTCTCAGTGTCTCATAACGAACATGGATCAAGTTAATTTTTCCACAAATGGCAACGATAGCACCCCCGTGTCCCTTAGAGGCCCAGAGAAGATCCTGTAACCGAGTGCACTGAGGTGCCCACGTGCGCACCGCACCTAGGAGAGAAGGCACCCTGGGGCGCTACCTGACCTGGAACCACAGACTCTTGGCCAGCTTCCCATGCTGAAATACACGCCCCAGGCCATCACAGATCACACGCCCTAGGCGGCCTGAGCTAATCCAGGGAGGTGGTGAACCAGTGTACTCTTCATGGAAGCTCAGTGCTGCAGGAACACAGTGGGTAAAGGTGTTCCTTTCCAGACAGGTTTCAGAGAGCAGCACGGAGTGGTCATCCCATGAGACCACAGTGCTCTCGTCAGTGGGAGGCCCAGATGAGCCGGCGATTAACCAGACATTCTGCCACGAGGAGGCTCAGTTCCCAGACCTGGCTCCACCCTGTGTCATGGGGCGCCAATCAACCTTCCTCTGGTCCTAATAACTAAAGCAACCGTACTTTCAGTAAGTGCTTACACCATATCCAACACTATACTGAGTGCTCTTAAAAATGTTACTTCATTTTATTCCATTCAATAATCCTGTATTGGGATGGGGAGATAGCTTGGTGGTCTAAGCACCTGCCTGGCAAGCACAAGGACCTGGGTTTGATCCCCAGGACCACATGCTGTACCAGCCACGTAAACCGGGCATAGTGGTACATGCCTATGATCCCAGCACAGGGGAGGCTGAGACAGGAAGATCATTATAAGTCTGAGCTGCATTGTGTGACCCTGTACCTAATAAATAAAGATTTTAAAAAAATTAAAAAATCCTCTATTGGTGTTCAGCATCCATCTGGAATGATTCCCAATTTAGGGATGAGGAAACAGGCTTAAAAATATGACGCAATCTTGGCCACAGGTACAAAGGTAGGAAGCGTGAGGCATGAATTGCTGCCCCATGCGTTACGACGCAAGCCCTACACCACAGCTAGGGAATGGGTAAGGTGCTGGCTTTCCTGCAGCCACTGGGCGGGGAGAGACACTCACGTGAATCCTCAATGCAGCAGTAGCATTTCTCTCCCACGCCCACCCGGAGCTCCGCCCCGTCCGGGAAGGTGTCTCCTGGCATCCCAGGCGAAGAAATCAGTTTCCTGCTGAAAACTTATTGTTGCTCGTCACTCTCTGGCATGACTATACTTTTGATATTAATTTTTCTTTTTAATTGAAAATGTCTTTCAATATCTTACTCATCTTAATGGAGACCTACAAATCTGATTATTACGTATTATTCCCTTACAAGCAAGGAGAGTAAATACCCCCACTCCAAACCAAACAACAAACACCAGCCTAACACGAAAATATGTCACCTAGTGAGGTGCCACATGGAACAAAAATCTTAAGTGCCTTCACTCTTAACTGAAAACTCATTATAAAGTTTCTATTGCCTGAACACATGGTGTCTATATTTGCCTCTATTTCCACAGTCTAGCAATAGAGCTTGGGACCGAATAGACAGTCAATAAATACTTGCTGAAAAAGTGAGTGAATAAATGAAGGGATGAATCATCTAATGTAGGACTAAGGGTTTATGCAACTTATTATGGGCAGCTAAATCATACGCACAATAAAACCACAAACACAGGCTTATCTGATTTACTGGCATACTACCAACTGTCACACGGTTGATTAGAAACATTAATTTTTAGGAAAATATTTCAAATAACTTTTCCTCCTCTAATCTTCAGTGCAGGCCTCATTTCAGAGCCTGAAATTGGAAAGTGTCAGACTGTGTCCTAGGTCCTGTGATCAGGCGGGAGAGATATTAAGTCCTATACAGATTGGCACAAATAGAGACTCCGAAATGCCAGCCCTGACACTCACGGGCACTCTGGACTGAACCAAGATTAAACAGAAGAGCAAAATCCCTGAGCGGGGTCCAACTCCCGTGCTCCAGCTGCATAGGAGAGCTCGCCCAGAAGGACCCCTGCACATAAAAATTTGAAAGTTTGAAAACAAAAATTGGGGAGAAAAGTATCAGTAAAAAAGGAAGAGCTCGTCCTTCGCTTTAGGAGCCAGCGGTACCCACAGGGCATCTGAAGACAAGAGCTCCCTAGCACCCGGCAGCTGGCTGCAGACGCAGAGGGGCAGGCGCCATCCAGACCCGCGATGCAGTGGCCCTGTGGTGGGCTCCGCGGTGTGGGTTTGCACAGACCTGTTTCACAGTGATACTTGTACAGGCTTGAGATCTATTACAAGTCATCAGCTGTCTATCAAATTGAACAAAGAACTGGCTTTTGAGTGTTTCCTTCAATTCAATGAAGTGGTGCTTGTGCGCGGCATGCCTATAAAGTACACAGAGAGCTAGCAGGGAGGCAGACACCACCTGGGCCCCATCGAGGGGAAAACACTCCTCTCTGGTGCTACCCATTGGACAGAAGAGCAAAGGTAGATGGAGAGAGGTTGAGTTGCTTGTTACTTGTCCAGTTCCAAAACCCATGTCATCATAGCGGAGAACAAGCGCCACAGCGCTCCTGTACTGCTGTCTTTGAAGAATAGTCATGAACATTCGGGGTGGGGGATGCACAGCTGCCCTGCAGGAGCTTACTGGGATCCTAGCTAGGGCTGGAATGGGTGCTCCCACCTATTCTTCCCTGGGGGTGGCTGTCTGGGACACAGCTGGACATCTATGTTTATCCCCACACCTCAGATGATAAGCCATAGGGAGAAAATGTCTGCTTCTGCTCGGCTGGTAAAGATAGGTGACTTGGCATCCAGAGGTCCCTCTTTCTATCAGAAGTCCTCTTCCCATGAAAAACTAGCAAGGGGAGTCTCTCCTAGGGAATTGTTATGACTTAGCTCTAAAATGTCTCTCTAAAGCCTCATGTGTTCAGAGGTGGGTCTTTGGAAGGTGACCGGATCCTGGGGCCTTAGACCCATCGCAGATTCACCCGCTGATAAGGGCATGCGGTGACTGCTGTTAGGAAGTAGCCCCTGGGAAGGGGTCACTCACCTGGGTGGGGACCTGAGGGGGTCTATTCTTGTCTCCAGCTCTCCCTTTTCTCTCTGCTTTCTGGCGGCTTTGAGGTGAGCAAATCCACTTTACCAAACCTTTCCATCATGCTGTTTCTGCCCCGGAGCCAACCAACCATGGACTGAGTCCTTGTGAAGGTCGTAAGTCACATGAAACCTCTCCTTTAAGTAGCAACTGGAAAGCAATTGCATGGCTGACTGACTCAGGCACTTGAAATGCAGCAGGCTCTAGGCTGAGGTTCATGTCACGTGACTTCCACTAACTCCTATTATTCAATGCAACACTCTGAAGTAGGTTCCAGTGTCCATGTCCCCATTTTGTGGATAAAAAAGCCAGGACCCAAAAAAGCAAAGTGACTTGTCCAAGGTCACGCAGTAAGTGAGCTGCTATCATGGCTTGTAGCTAGATCCCCCAAAGCCTCATACGCCCATATGTGTGACACTGGATCTGTCCCCTGAATCCTCAGCACAGACCGTTCTGGGTGTAGGTGATGGGTTTACCGAAGAAGGAAGAGCCACCATGGCTGTGGGCGGCAGCAGCCAACAGCTTGCAGACTGGATGGAACAGAAAGGGAAAGGAGGAAGACTTGCTGCCTCCTGCCTGCCATGCCAGGGACTGTTTTGCTATGTCACGGCACCCTGCCTCGGAACCAACTGACAATGGACTACACCCGCTGCAAACCGTGCACTGAAAGAAGCCTTTCCTCCTTTAATTGGGGGTATCTGGTATTTTGTCCCAGCAACAGGAAAGTAACTAAGACAGTTGCAGAAGAGGAATTTAAGTTTAAGAGGTGATTATTGGGTGCACCATTCTCAGGGGGAGGATGGGGTGAGGACTGGATCCTGCGCACTTACAACCACAAGAGACTCTGAAACCGTCATTGCTAGAGGCAAAATGCCAACCATTAAAAGGCCAGGTTCACAGGACCAAAGGGGAGAATTAATTTCTGTTTTGATAAATGGAGTGATATTTACAGAGCAGCCATATTAAAAAAGCCAACCTGCTCCTGCTCTGCATTTGAGTTGATCCTGGGCCCCAAGGCCATGGCGAAGGTGTGTGGCAAGCAGCGGAGCCATGACCGCTGTGCCCCGCAGCCAGGGACACCCGTGATCTCTGACTGCCCGTTATTTTTCTCATTGTTTCCATCATCAGATCTTTACCACATATGCCACTCACTTCTACAACGAAGCCACCACCTGGCCTCCCTGTCTGCAGAGGCGGTGCATTCCAACTGAGGCTCCTTTTGTCTCAGGGCGTAAGACACATGAAGCTGAGGTGCAGGCGCAGGCCGCAGCCTCGGCTCGCACTGCCTTTGGACTGCTGAGGACGGCAGGCTGTGCAAGTTTCGTGCCCAGGAACACGTTGTTTCTTCACCCTCCCATTGGTCTGAAATGCTCTGTGTGTCCACAGAAAGCTTTCTGCTCTGCACCCCCAGGCTACTCTTCAAAAGCTACTAATGACCTCCAAGTCACCACCTCCTTGTAGCTCCTGCTTCCATTTCCTGCGACCTCAGCATGTCGGACCCCAAGCTCACCCCCCCATCCCTGGACGCTCTTGTCGCTTCCTTTTCCCTTCCGTGTCCCCCAAGGCCACTACTGTGCTCCAGCAGGGAGGGGCCTCCACTGCCTCCCGCCCTTCCACCTTTCCCTGGAAGCCTTCCTGCTGTGATTTATCTCCCTGTGTCCCCACGAGACTCTTGCGCTCTCAGGCCTGGCTTCTAGAAGGTCATTAAATTCTGGGGGACTTCACAGTTAGGAGGCGGGCCTGGTCGTGAGAGGCGGGTCACTGTGGGCGCTTCAGGAGTGGCTTGTCGCTTCAAGCGCTGCTTCCTGACTGCCAAGCGTGCGTGCACGGAAAAGCTTTTCCTCTTGAGCCTTCTGCCGTGCTGCCTGCCTTGGAGCTGGCCTGCGGTGGACCAAAAAAGTGAGCCGAGGTAAGCCTCTCCTTTATTGACAGGCGTCAGGTCTTGTGTCTCAGTGACAAGAAAGCGGCTAAGACCCTTGTCTTTCCTCCTCGAGAGGAGGCCGACACTAACAGCAGTACCAGGCAGTGTTCCCTGACTAGCTACTGCGGCCAGTCGCTCCGGATCGGAGCCTGGAAGGTGCTGCAGGCGGCTCTAGCCAGACCCTAGCTCTAGCACGGCTCCAGGACGAGGGGCATACCTCCCTGCCGGCCATGGATTTCGCAGTCCGGTCTGCTCTTAATCTGTCTGCTCCAAACTGATCACTGACTTACTGCCAGAACTTTGGGGGTAGGGTTAGGGAGGCACGGCGGGGGTGTTTCACTGATTGTCTTATTCGCCAACTTCAATGCAGGTATGTGGCCACCAGGTGGCAGTAGCGCACCACACCAGAGAAACCGACGGCCGCCAACGCTGAAGACCTGATTCAGAGGAAGGTAAACATGGTCCCCACTTGTACTTACTGCAAAGACAGAACTTTCCTAGTGACTACGTAGCCTGAAGAAAGTTGCCTTTGCTCCTTAATAGAGTCATCGCAGAAGTCACCGAGGAGTTCCGGTCTCTGCTGTTCCTGCTGTCTGCTGTCGCAGGGCACACCGAAGTCTTGCGAAACTTAAGGTAGTTCCGGGCCGCTAGTGCCACGTCCGTCCCTCCTTGGCTTCGCTTTCACTGTTCAGAAGAAAGGGGCCTCTTTTCTGTTCCTTTTTTAAATTTATTTTTATTTCTTGTTTTTCTCGAGACAGGGTCTCACTATGCAGCTCAGGCTGGCCTTGAGCTCTCTTGGTGACCCAGGCTGCTTTCGAACTCACAACGATCCTCCTGCCTCAGCCTTCCAGACCGCCCCTCATTTTCCTCTCTGACCCTGGGGACTCTTACAGAGCCAGAGGCTGCGAGCTCTAACGCCCAATGGCAGACCCTGATCTCCTTAAGCGGGTCCCACTAAAACAGGCTCTGGGGCGGAAGGCCTCCGGGCCCATCCCTAGCTTGGTAACGCACAGACGTGTGCAGTTGCGACACCACCTGGGTCTGTCAGGCTCGGCTGCCATGGGGAACCTCAACACGAAGTGAAAGGAGTGAAACATTGGCTCATCACGGAGGGCAAAATCTTAATTTTGAAGGACGTCACAGGTACACACACCGCCCACTGCGCCAGCGGCTCTCCGGAAGCGCCTTGAGAACAGACCCGTCGGGGGCATCGTGGGGCGCGCCCCCCGCCCGAGCTTGCTCTCCCCCAGAGCAAAGCTCCAGCCCGCTGATTTAGGAACCCGGATGGATTCCCGTCCATCCCGCCTTCCATCCTCATCTCTAGGGACTCGGGCACCTAACGATTACAGACACTTAAAAAGCAGCTGATATTTGGTTATAATTTTATGCCTTCGGGCAAAAATAACCACGAGTATAGTCTCAACTTAGAAGGGAATATTGCGAATGAAACCACAATTAATTTGGTGGACAGAGATTCAAAGTGGTTCCAGCATACTGCCTGACGAAGGTGCTGCTCCAGTGGGAGCTTTCTGCTTCCGCCCATGGGCTGCCATCACCGAGCTCAGCATTAATGTGGGGACATGGACAGTGGGGACGCTGGGACGCCATGCCCCGGGGTCTCACAGGGAGGTACATGGTGAGTGAGAGAGTGAATCAACCACCACACCACCATCATTCATCATTCTCTGCCTCTATACCAGGTACCAGGGCACACCCCAGCCGGGCAACCTAATACTTTCACTTAACCACTGGGCCAGTCTCTTCCCAAGTGATTCCTATGTACAACAAAATTTAAGAAGTACTGTGTCAGGGCAAGTTCCCACTGTCTTGGAGTCTCAGTTTTATTGTCCACCATACTTCCTATGGTGGAGCCACAGATGAAACGAGACAGTGAATGTTCAGGGATTAAGTGCTCAGTATACTACTTGGCACCCAGCAAGGTCTCCACAAATGTAAGTCTGTACCACCATGAATGCCACCAATCATCACCACCACCATCACCACCACCACCACCGCCACTATCACTGTCAGTATCACCACCATCACCACCATCACCACCACCACCA